CAGATTTCATAATACATCTGTCAGGATCCAGAGATCTGCCACCTGATCTCCAGCAGAGAGCGCTGTGGGCCTCCTGAGCTGATTCCTCTACACACCTGGAGATCATCAGCTCATCAGAGGTCCACACTACTTAAGCAGCTGCCAGACCTTCCTTCGACGCCGGAGTGTTGACCTAGTTTGGTTAGCGAACCTGAGCCTCAGAGCCTCAGAACGTCTGAACTTTACTAGTAGACTCTAGAGAGGAACTAGTCTTCTAATCGCCTTTGTCTTTTGTGCTCACAGGAAACCCTGAAGCTCTGGATGAGCTCCACCTAGAAACCTGCCTGCCTGCTCATGAAAGCCAAACCTGAAGATCTCAGTTTGGATTCCTTCTTCAGCTCTTGGATAGAGCAAGGAACAAACCCAAGCCAGAAACTTTCTAGCTCGGAACTAGACGCTGCTGCTGCTTAAACTCTCTGCCACATTGTTGACTCTGGACCTACGGTATCTCACCTCACGTCTCTGTTACAATCTCCTCAAGGTACATCTTGATTCTTCTCTATCCATCATCAGCCTGGCTAACCAAACTCACATCTCTCCAGAAACTCTGAGACCAGTCCCGGACCAGTACCAGAACCAGATCCAGTATTATATCATTGTACATCTTTCAATAAACCTTTTTAAACTTTCCTTCAGACTCTGTTGTGTTCTGCATGTGGGCTAAGTACTTAAACCCAATCATGACAACATCAAGCTTTTCAATTATCTGTTTAGGGTTAGCTGTGTAGTTAATGTTTTGCTTCATTTGCCTTAAAGAAATCAATCTGAATTTTGGCTCTATGTCAACGATAGGTGTTTAGGACCAAGGTACAGATGCACACCACGTAAGGATATGGTGAGTTTGGTCAGTTAATGCAATTATAAGTGTGTAGGGGAACAGAAAACACCCATGGAGCCAAGAAACAAAACAGAGAACTAAACTAAGAGATAATATGGTGTAAGGTGCAAACACTAAGCAAAATGAGGAGGCACTGGTGAACTGAATCTAGTAATTAGATTAGACTAGATTAGATTAGATTCAACTTTATTGTCATTACACAGGTACAGGTACAAGGTAACGACATGCAGTTTAGGTCTAACCAGAAGTGCAATAGCAGCAAGTGCAGGATAAATAATGGTTCCATAAATACAGGACATGGGTTTCTACTGAATAAGTATAGAGATTAATACTATTATAAACAGAATCTTACTAATAGATGAATATAATATATAGATAACAAGTATTATGAACTAAATTTACAGCTAGATATGTACCGAATATAATATACCGGTGGATATTACTATAAAAAGGGTTTTTACAGTTATGTGCAATAGCATATATACAGATGGAGTTTACTATAAAATGAATAAATAAAGTTTGGACAGAAGCTATCTAAATTAAAGTGCAGTGGAAGGTAATTGCATTATTACAGTTAAAGTACGTTATTGCAGATCTAAATGTAAACAATTGGTGCTGTGAATAAAACTGTCGACAGTGCAAATATAAACAGTAGGCAGTGCAAATCAATATTCAGTCAAGGTGAGTAGTGCAAGATGCATGTAAACAGTTGTTACAATAGTAACAGTCAGGAGTGCAGGTGAACATTACAGTCTTGTAAAAAAAAAAACAGAATAGCAAAATGTTGGTAGGTGTGAGGAAGGAGAGTAGAGTCTATCAGTGAGGGTTAGAGTTCAGTAAAGAGGCAGCTCTGGGGAAAAAGCTGTTCTTTAGTCTGCTGGTTCTGGTCCGGAGGCACCTGAAACGCCTGCCAGAGGGCAGGAGAGAAAACAATCTGTGGGCTGGGTGGGATGAGTCCTTAAGAATGCTGCGGGCTCGATGTAGGCAGCGTTTCTCCTGGATGTGCTCAATGGTGTTTAGTGAAGTTCCAGTGATGTGCAGGGCGGCTTTCGCCACCCGCTGCAGTGCAACAAAACAGCTTCAGGATGCTTTCTATTGCACTGCGATAAAAATTCACCAGGATATAAGATGGTTGTGGTTCGGGAATAAATTATTACAGGATATAGACAAACACTGAGCACAAAGTAAATGATTGAACATATTGAGTAATACAGAGGGGGCAACTGAGAAGGTAATGGACATGACATGTCTCTATTCTGTATTCTGCTGGGCCCCTGGCAGCGCAGAGCGGGACAGAAAAAGACTGAACAAACTAGTGAGAAGGGCCGCTTCTGTCCTAGGCTGCACTCCGGACTCAGTGGAGGAAGTGTCCAAGCTTACATCCATCATGAACAACACATTTCACCCTCTGCACCAGACTGTAGAGGAGCTATGCAGCTCCTTTAGTGAAAGACTTCTACACCCTGTTTGTAAAAAGGAGTGCTACCGCAGATAATTTATCCCTGCTTCAACTAGTCTCTACAATGCAACCCTACAACGGCAATAACTTGTGCAATGTATAATGTGCAATTACTCTTTGATATCCATGTGTAAATTTCTCCACTATGAGATTAATAGTGTCACGGTTTGGTTGGGGGTTGTTTCAGGACCCAAATGCAGAGAGCAGTGAAGCAGAGATGAGTTCTTGTTGGTTTTATGAATAACTAAGGCAAACATCCAAAAATACAAAATACTAGGAACCAAAAAACCAGAACACACCAGAGAAAATTCACTTGGGAGGCCAGGGACGAGGAAGCAACTAAACAACAACCAGGAACAACTGAGTGACTGCAGAGGTGGAGTATATAAGGGGAACAGAACAAAGTTTAGGCTAATGAGCTGAATAAGAAGCAGGTGTGAGTGGAACTAAGTACTGTAGAAGGAGGCCACGGGGAAAGGAAACAAACACAAGTGGGCAACAGAGAGTTACTAAAGACTGCTTGAATATAATGGAAAATAAACCAAAGATCAACAACACAGAATAACTAATAACTGAAAACTAAAAACTTAGAGTTCCAAAAGGGGAGAAGCATGACAAATATTGTCAATGAATGAATGAATGAATTAAGCAATCGATGACTAATTAACAACTAATGAAACTAGAAAACACCTTGCAATGTGAATATGGCAAAACCTGAATGCCATTAATATTGGGTGAAACAGTAAGAAAGTGGCTGAAATACTTGAACAGTAAGAAAGTGGCTGAGATACTTGAACCAAATCAAATCTAAGTGTAATCCACAGATCAGATTATATATCCGAATTATAAATTCCTCTCTCTTCCATTGAAAATCGGTCCAGGAGGCTAAAGCTAATCAGATGGTAGCCACAAATTCATCCATCTAAAATCAACTTTAGTTTAAAAACTTTTAACTAATTTAAAAGCTATTTTAGGAATGTTTCAATCTTCTGTTTGCACATGATGATTATTTACTAATAAGCTAATGATGATTTACTTGGGAAATGACAGAACCAGCTGCTGCATCATGAAAGATTCTCCATTGATAAATCTGCAATGGAACAGTTAGCATTTGATTCAGAAGTAAGCTTTGCTTATTATGTTAACAAGAGGACAACTGCTAAAAACACTGGAGAACTCAAGAGGCTCTTCCTATAAAAGAACCTAAAAGAAATGCCACTTTTAAAACCCAAGACAACCTAATCAATTTATTCAGTAAAAGAGGGATAAAGTACATGTTGGCAAAGAGTGGTGCCAAAAGATATTACAAGGCAAACACAATTACCTCTCACTTTATTCAAATAAAATATCAAATTAAACTCTGGACAAATAAAAAAACAGGACCTGAAAAATGCAGTTGTCTCTTTTTAGAGTAGAAGTCTCAGACTTTGCACTTCCTCGTAATCAGAAGTTGATAAAAATCCTGCAGGTGCATTCTTCTATCAGCTTTTTGCCTCTCTTTTATATCTGACTCCATCAAATGAACTTGTTGACAGAGTGAAACTCAATTTTCTGCTGCAGTGAGAATCTTAATGTCCAAAGACTGTTTCTGAATGCCAAGTAATTTCCTTGCTCTGCAGAGCTCTCCCTGCAGCCTGTTTGCTTCTTCAGGGGAAATTACTCTGAGTTCCTGTGATCAAAGACTTACTGTTCTGGTGCTGTTTCTAGTATCGTGACTGTATTCCACATTAGGGACCAAGAGGTATTTACATTACTACTTAATACTTCCACACAAAGTAAAATGTTTATTGCAAACGTTGCTTTCGCCTGAATGTGTAATTACACTACTAGCACAGTAGAGGACACTGTTGTTTGATTTAAAAAGGAATACATGCACTTGGTGTAATTAATAATGACAATCTTTGATTTCATTAGTAAGGGCGGTTTGATATTGAATTACACAGAACTTTAAAATGTCATGTTAGACTTAAGGCATCCCTCCTACCTTAAAAAACACCTTCTCATACATCAGTGCTCTTACTCTGAATGAGGAAACACTATGATTGGTTATAGAGAGAGTCGTGTCTAGTTTGCCCACACAACCTGCTCATCTGGACTCCACAAACAGGAACAGGGAGGGCTTTCTAAATATACCTCCACTATTAGAGGTGGAAGTTTAAAGGAATCCCCCAGAGTCTGTGTGGCTTCCTTTAACATTCCACAATTAGAAAAGCTTCTCCTTGATTGTAGACAAAATACATTTTGTTCTCATGCTCGTCATTCATCAGCTACTCAGACTGGATATACCCCATCAAGCTTTTAAGACTCAACCTCACTGTCTGCAGTAAAATCTCTTTAAATGTTTATTCTTTCACCTGCTAAGGAATGTGCACAATTATTCATACCTCTTCTATGTCTTTCCCAAGTTACAGCTACAAACCTGACGTGGAAGGTAAGACATGCATAATGCTGTTGGTCTATTTTATTTTATAATAAGATTGTGAAATGTGATGAGACAAAAAGAAGAATTTCTGAGTAAAATAAATTCTGTGAAAATGTCCAATACATCTGGGAAATCATACTTTCTATTTAGCCCTTATTAAGTTTTTAAGCTTCGTTGCTGTATCCCGACTCATTGGCCTTGGTTTGGTTATGACAGGCATTGTTAGTTCAACACACCTAAAAAAATACCCAAGGTTGACACAACATTGTTCCTTTAATGCATTCAAACACACAGTGAGAAGCCAAGGCTGAGAAAGAATTGTTTACTTTGGGCAAGGCACGTTCGGAGGAAATGAGACATTTATGGTTGAAACAAACGGACAAGACAGACTCAAGTATTATCATAAATAGTAATGGACACTATCCTTCTCAAACAAAAGGCTGATAAAAAACAAACACTCAAGAACATCAGATGTGAGTACTTAAATTTTATAAAACTAGTTACATTAGATCCAGGTTAAGTAATCTATTTTCAATAAAATACTGCAAAAAAAGTGAAAAGTGAGCTGTACAAATGTGCTCAGGAAACAAACAACAGACTGAGAACTGACCTTTTATTGTGTCAACGAAATGACACACAAAAAAGCATAATGAACAAATGAAAGAATGAAAGAAAGAGCTTCCTGATTTAATTATCTAAAACTCCAGATACGTTTCCTGCAGCAGAGGAAGTTGGTGAATTGTGCCTCAGGAAGTGGGCGTGCTCTCTGGCTTTACATTCTGCGTAAACGTCCTTTGTTCCGGCTGTCCAAAAAAAAAGACCAAGAACAAACGTATCATATGATAAGTTCTCCTTGTTCTCTGCTGACTTCCTGGGTTTCCTTTTAAGAAAATCTCTCAACCCAACTGCAATTCCAGTTATGTCTTTTGTCATTGGTCCTGGATTATAATACCTGTGAAAAGTAAATAGATTCTGTACAGCAAGGGAAATGGAGGTCAGATAGATGAGGAATACATAGGGTCAGACGGGTGGCGTGCTGTAGCGGATCTCAGTGCTGAACTTTTCCACCATCTTGGGCAAAGGAGGCTTCTTCAGCATGTTGTGCTTCATAATGACCTCCTCATTAGCGTAGATCGGAGTGTCTGTGTCATCAGAGTGGTACCCTGACTGATATCCGCTCGTCTGATTGGATGACTCCGATCCCAGGGACTCTTTGCTTTTGCAGCGTAGCAGTTGACTGACATGACAGGAACACAAATTAGATAGGAAAAGAAAAAATATGTGAACTATATCTCAAAATTCCTATGTTATAGGATTTAATGTATTTCTTACCTGAAACTGGGTGTTGCTGGGAGCTCGTGATTCAAACGCTTGACTTCTTCTGAAGAGAAGCCCATCCCACTGTCTGTGTGACCCTCCTGCAGGAAAACAGTAGTTTTACTTTCTCCATTATAGTATAAAAAAACACAGGTAAAATATAATGGCCACTAACACTAATTAATTCTTCAGCATGTCATCTGTTAGTGTGTGACTGATAATTAGCCTGAAGTCAACATTTCATCCTTGAAATTGATGTGAAAGAAGCAGAAGAACGAAGCACTTGCGAGGATTTAGGCAATCTTTCACAAGAGAAAAATTGGGACAATTGGATTAGAAGAAACCGAAACCTCCGCTCTTATGGGGTGTTTGCAGTCACTATGTACCAAAAGTAGTGTAAGTAAGCAATACAAGTGAATCAGCAGGGGTTCCCATACTGAAAGTGCCAACTATGGAAAAGTAAACATCAGAGGTCAACAATGGGGCACTGAAAGCAAGCTGTGTGTTAGAAGAAGCTTGGTGCATTGAAGCCCCATGGTCCATTCCCAAAATAATATTAGAAAAGAGGTTATATATCATGCATGATCAGTTTAGGCTTCATTCGCATTCAGCCTTATTTCATTAAAAGATTGCATTTCACAACAAATGTGCAGCTTAGATCAATGCTGAATACATTGCTTTCATTAGTATCTTGCTGCTATACAGTCCCAAAATACTGCACAATATTATAGTTGGTAAATACTTTATATTTCATAAAGTTGTTGCTCACCATTATGCTGCTGTGTGCCAAAGGGATATCTTCAAATGTTTTCACACTGAGAGACCGACTGCACCTCTTGCCCTGCTGGGTCAGTCTGTGCACAAAGGACAGGTCAGTAAAATGCCAAACTGTGTATTTTATCCTGTATTCTTGAGAAATGATGAGAGATTCATGCTGACCCAATGGAGGATGGGATGTCGTAGTGAATTTCTACAGCTTCCCCACTCTGAGGACAGATGTAGGGCCCCTTAGGCTCAGAGGACAGTAAGCGTCCTTCTACTTCACCTGCTGTCAGGGGGATATAGTCCTTCCCATCCTAGAGAACAACAGGATTCAGACATTAAAAAGTCAAACAAGCAGATGTTTAACAAATTTTACATGAATAAGTGCAATTTTAGTTATAAACTTTATAGACAAGAAATGTACAGAACTCTTGAGACTTACTTGAAGCTATAAACTAATAACTTGTTGTAGAATTACCAACAACACTGGAGCTTTAGTTATTCCATCCTCTAAACTGAGCAAATACATTTTGGTCTGGGGAGACTTTTTACAATGATCTTCACCAAATGATTTACCATCACTTTGGTTTAAAGCGACTGTACAAATGTATGCCAAACACTTTATTATGCTGTAAAAATAGTATTAGTGAACCTGAAAATGTTTTGTCAGCTGAGTTAAATATGTTTTTTGATTGGATAAAATGAAATAAGATTACTGAACATCTCTAAAACCAATTGATTATCTTGGGAAGAAGTCATTAACTTTCATCTACACCAAAGATGAGTTTGAATTTGTCTGGGGAACCTATAGAACAGGTAGATAAAGTAAAATTATGGGCATGATAACTGATAATCAGTTGTTATGGGAAGGACACATTGATACCATAGTGAGGAATATGCACCTTTATGGTCCTCCACATGGAAACCAAATACCAGACGGACTAAACTTCCCTATATGTAACGTCAGAACAATAAGAAAAAGGTTTAAATATAAAATGTGATAAACAAGAATTAAGTGTGAGAATGGTAAAGGAGTAAAATCCTGAACTGCATGATGGAGAGGCGTGTTGGATTCACTATGTTTACGCACTAATAATTAGACTACTTATATGGTATTTAAAGTAGCTGTTTAGAGTGCATAACAGTTAAAAACATATGTTTTGTCTTAACAACACAAAAAAATATTTTGTTTTTAGTTTATTACCCTATACTTTGGTCAAACAAGAAAAATAACGGACTTCTGTTAAATAAATACTCAAGATAAATTGGCCATTAACTAAAGGTTCACACACAGTTAGGCATATTGCAAGACTGGTAATAAGGGCCCATTCCTATCCTAAAGGCACTTCTTGGATCCCATTCCATGACTTTGAAACACTACGACTGATTAAAAACATTCCAGGATATGTTCCTTAAATGCAGCAGCCTTGAATGAAGTCTTAAAATGGTTGGTAATTGAGTCTTTCAAAAGGATAACAAAATGGGTCACCAAAGGTAAAATTAATCTTTTTCAAAACCTGTGAGATGTGCAATAGACAGGAGAGGGTGAGAGAGGGATCTAAGTGATCTACATAGATTTATGCTTTGTCTTTATAAAAGTATGCTCTAATAGAAAAAGATGGATCAACAACGCCCAAAAAAGCACGGACCCCAAAAACTGGGATAAAAGCCGGTAGTGATATTGTTACATATTGTTTTCCAAAAATATATTTATTTTATCACATCTTTTCCAGGAATAAAAATAAATCTGTAAGATGCTCTACACTGGAAATGATGTGCATGCATTATATACTTTATATATTTATGGCTCTTCTTTGCATGTCAAGTCATTATTTTTCTGGCTGAGCTACTGAATCCTTATACATGACTCTATTGCTTTTTTGTTGTTTTTTTGCCACATGTCAATTAAATTGGTTTTAATTTTATTTTACTAACTGTGCTTTTAATCAGCACTTAAAACATAGTAATAGCTACAGCAATTATTCAGAAAAGAAGGAGACCAAGGAAATAAAACTGTTTTAATATTAAACTGAGGTTAAAAAGAAAGGACTGTTCCCGATCCGATAGCTCTACCATCCAACAAGCAGATTTGATTATGATTTCAGCTACTGGGTCATCTGGTAATCCCAGGACTGGCCACCGGCGCTGCTGGGTCCTCGGTCCTGGATTATTGGATGTGGGTGTTATGTGTGAATGGCAGACATGGGCAATGTGGAGTCAACAAGTCATCTCCATGTCATGTATTTAATCTACCCAGCCAATTAACCAGGTGAGTCCAGTCTGCACAGGGTAGAACAAATACATGACATGGAGATGACTTGTTGACTCCACATTGCCCATGTCTGGTGAATGATCCGCCAGTGCATTGGTGGACTCAACATTGGTGGGCACCCCTGGGGCCTCGGGTCCCGGGGGCCCATGGCAGGTTCCACTTTGGGGTGGCTGGCTGCCATACGAGCTTCGGCATTGCGGCGGCTGGGGGATTTCCTCGAGGCTGTCTCTCCTCTTCCTTCAGTTGGGGGGCAGATTTCCTGGCCACTACTGAGCATTTTCCCTTTGGATAAACTTTACATGCACAAGTGCACTCTCACGAACAACAACAGCTGCTTTGCTCCAGGTCCTTAGAGATTCACTTCCATACAGAAAGCCCATATTCTGATCTTCAGCTACCAAAATATATATATGTCAGAATAAATAATATGCTTCAGCGATAGTATCAAGGTGCTACTTTATTGTATTTGTTATACTATATCCTTTGGTTGTGCTGTTCTTTTTTTACATCTCTTTGCCGGTGATGAAGCAGACTGAAGACGTTTTATAATGATCTCTCTTTTATATCCTTTCATCTTTTGTCCTTTTTCCTGTTTTTCCTTTCATGGTCTAATTACATTGCAGTGTTTATATAATCTGTAATACTCCCTGTATGAATTATAATAAAGCTATATACATGCATAAATCAAGCAGAACACTATGGCAATAGCCGTACCGCTCCACTTGTTAAAGCAAAATCTGTTGGGTTCTTTTTTGGCATCAAGACAATTATTCTTATGGCCACATTGCCAGAACAGGACACTATTAAAAAATTTAAATAAAAGAAATACGATTTCAGGATGTGTTGGTTTTGTTTGGAACAGACCTGTTGTGCACTTGCTTGTAGAAGATTTCCAAGATGTTCAACCAATTCTGCAAATGTGGGTCTGTCTGTAGGGCGATCCATCCAGCAATCCAACATGGTCTGGTATCTGTTTGGATCACAAAGAAAGACAGCTTAAAGAGGCATACCTTATTGTCTGTTGTTCTGCAGTAATTTTCAGTTGAACTCACATTTCAGAGTTGGCATATTCCGGAGGTCTCATTCTCGTGCCTTCCTTAAGCCTCCTGCAGAAGGACTCATCAATGCAAACGCCAGGATATGGAGAAGCCCCTGTGAGATAAATGCTGTTTCAATAATAAAGTTATGTAAGAATGTTACCTTATTATGTGTAGTGTTAGGGGTACCCAAAGAAAAGATCTCCCAGAGGAGAACTCCAAAGGACCAAACATCACTTTGAGTTGTATAAACCCGATCGAAAATAGTCTCTGGGGCCATCCACTTGAGAGGAAGACGGGCCTGTAGTAATAACAACACTTTATGTTTCACTGCACCATTTATAGTATATAAATGATTTAAATTCTAAATATAAGTTTAGCATACGCACATCTCCCTTGCGAACATAGTCTGGGTCTTTGTAGACATCTCTAGCAAGTCCAAAGTCGCATATTTTGACCACGTTATTTTCTGAGAGCAGGATGTTTCTTGCTGCTAGATCCCTGTGAATGCACTACAGACGAAACAGAAGACATTATATTCAAAGCAATTAAAACAGACTTAACTAATCTAGATTTCTCTAAATCATACCAAAAAGACAAGTTTGAGAAGACAGTTACCTTTCGAGAAGACAGGAACTCCATTCCTTTGGCAACTTGGAAGCTATAGCTTATTAGGTCCTCCATGGTGAGATGATCGTCAACAGAGCTCTCTGGAACCAAATTGTAATAAAGAGCAATGTTTAAACTGCCACAGCACGAAATTGGAGAAAAAATGAAAGCATTGTGAGACATTTCACAACCATCTATAGGGTCACTACTGGTCCATGAAGTTTTGTCCTCAGCTGTTCCAGTGCATATATCCAGCTGGGCGACTTTGCCCAATCCAAGATCTCCTTCCGTCACATCTTCATCAGTGGGTGCCCATCTCTGGTTACTGACCTGCTTTTTCTGTTCAACACAGTGAAAGAGGAAAATCAGTTATTTAAATCAAACCAAAGCTGCTGTTCAGGGTTTCTGCAGTGCACATTATTTCCTCTTTTATGCTAATAACATTCTTACTCCATGCTGAAATACATATATACTGTATGTTTGCTAAAACATTATACAGTCATTTTCAATGGATTTCAGTCAAGAAATTATCAATTTAAAGAATATATTGTTATTTGACTGAAAAAATACAGGTAAGTCATTCCTTACTTTGGCTTTTTGAAAAGAGGCTTTCTTTTCCACTACTCATACAGTGAAACACAGCAGTTCATTGCTGTGTGTTTGTGGCAAGTCATGGCTAAAACCAAAGAGCGGCTGAATATTTTGGCAGCTCATATCTCAGCAAAGGGCAGCAAATCTTCCCAATGGCCAGAATACAAGGTGTTGTTACATTTACATCAATGCATGGTGAAAAATCTGAGATGGCATGGAAGAAGCCCCAGTGACACCTGCCCTGGCAGGGCTAGCACTGTGAGGGGTAAAGGAACCAAAAATAATCATTAAAAGAGACATCAGGCTGTCTGGAGAAAAAAAAACTTTGTCCTGGGAATCCCTAGACAGGGGTAGCCAATTAAATATCAGTGGGTTCCAAATAAAGAAAATCAACAACCACTTAAGGTCCGGACACATCTTTAATTATAATCTGTTACTTCTCCTTCTTTCCCGTCGTCCGGCTTGCCATAGGTTTCCCTCCTGTGTCTAAAAGGGGCCTCGCAGCAGCAGCCCGGACTGAGACAGCTCATTGGCTAATTTGTATCGCATGTAGCCTGGTCCCAGATTCTCCGGAGGGCTGTACCATATTAACAGGCGAAGCGACGCAAGTGAAACTAGACACTGTCGTCAGAAAACATGCAATAATTTATAAAAGTTTTAAATCAGGTTGGGTCCGGATTAGCCAGCAGGTGGGTCCAGATTCAGACCCTGGTCGGCTAATCCGTGAGCTCTGCTCTAGATGTTTGGACATGGCATTTGTATGTTTAAATATAGACACAACAAATTGAATTATGTTTTACGCACAATGACACCCCTTCTTTAATATTTTATATTCTGCGAATTGTCTGTGTTATCTTAAATCAGTAAACCACTTCTTGTTAAATGAAATTGTACCTTTACATCTAAAGCTGACAGGGCTACAAAGAGCTTGACTTTATTTAGCTAACAGCTTGACCCTCTGTGACTAATTCAAAACTGACAGTAATGGTGGTCCTTGGTAAAGTAAGCAATGCTCATACCTACTCTACATAAATGATGTAGTTTATTTTAGAGATGCTTTGAAGTTGGTGTTTAAGGGTTGTGAGGCTACCTCATTTAATTGCTGGGTTTGTTATACTGGTTGCATTTTTTTTTCATATCTCTCACCTTATAGGGACTGTACTCTCCACGCTTGCTCTTCAGGTAGCTGGATAGATTACCATGTTTACAGTACTCAACAATGACCATCAGGGGTCCTGCAAGAAGAAATGGATTTTATTTTTACAAAGGAATAAGAAAGGTTACCCGAGGGTTCTCCAATAGACTGTTTTTCATTTGTTAAGCCTGTTTAGGTATTACAGAAAAACACTGAGAACAACGATTAAAAAAATAAAACATCCAACATAAAAAAATAAATATCAAACAACATTCAAACGCTAAAAGAAACCAAAATAAGTAGATTTTTTTTATTACTTTTTATATAAATATTAATTACCATTATCAAAAAAACCCAGTGAGAGTATAAACATAATAAAGAAAAGAAAAGAGATATATTTAATACGATAATTAAACATGAAGAAAACCTCTCACTATACTCTTTTCTTTTAGATTCAGGACTTTTTTCTTGTCTAAGCTTAAAGCAACACAAAGTGGAGAAGCAAGATCAATAAAAATTTTGAAAATGAGACAAACATTTAAGTTTGTATTTATGTTTTTTTTTTTTATCAAATGAAAGATTCTTTTGAGAATGCAGAGAAGAAATGTTAATGTTTTTGAAGTAGTATGATTGGCACATGAAACTGATAACAAAGCATCTAACTTTTTAGCTCACAATAGCAGCCATCTTTGACATGAAAGCTGCAAGGAGCACCACTCTAAAGTTTAAAATTAACCATGGAGTTCATTTTTCTTTTCTTTTGGGATCCAATGTCTTATTGGTACTTTTTTCATTATTGAACCATCTACATAAATGTCATATTTACCATTAGAGAACAGACACTTTCTCTTCTCTTTAATGTTAAGAGTTAATAATAGGGGGCCAAGGACAGATCCTTGTAGAACAGTTAAAAACAGCCTTAAAGCAGGAAATTGATGAAAATCAATAAATCTTTGTGTATGTCAGGACAATAAAAACTAAACAACCTAGAAACACAAAAGTGTGGGATGGGACTGAGTGAAATGCTTTATTGACATCTAAAAATATGGATCCAACAACACTTTCACATCCCATATGCAAGACAAAGAAAAGCAAAAAGCATCACTGTATACACAAAAAAGAAATAAATCTTGACTCACCTCCGGGCCTGGTGCAAGCTCCCAGCAGGTTGACAACATTCAGATGATGACCGATGTGGATGAGAATTTTTAGCTCTGACATCAAGGCACGATATTCACTGGAAGTAGCTCCCTCTGTAACAGAAAGCCCAAACTCCTTGTGTTTAAAAATTCTAAATGCAGTAACAGGTTGGGATCTGTTTGCTTTTTGGTAGTTTTAGGTTGTTTTTTAACATTAAGAGAAAATACTGACCCTTCAGCATCTTGACTGCAACAGTGGTGCATGTAGTAGCTTTCTCAATGCCAAAGGCAGCTGCTTCCACAACCTGACCGAATGCCCCTCGTCCCAGTGGTTCACCTATATCAACATATAGGAATCACAATTAGCAGTCAGCACTATCCTTGCAGTATTTACTCATCATCTTTGCATGTGTTGAGGACATAAATCAAGACTTGATATATTTTCAACGCTTTAATCAGAATCAGAATCAAGTTTATTGCCAAGTAGGTTTGCACTTACAAGGAATTTGACTTGGTGTTGTTGGTGCAGACAAAAACAAAATAAGATAGAATATATATAAATATACATAGAAGCTGTATACAAACAGTAGACTGTGCGTTAATGTAACACAGAAATCCTGAATGGGGGAGAGAAACATTGTCCAGTGCCTTGTTGATAAGGCCAGTAGCAGATGGGAAAGCAGGACTTAAGCAGGACTTGCAAGTTTCTTTTTTCATTTAAAGGTATAGTGGGGGATGATTTTTACCCAGTGGATCATCAAAATATGTGGTCCTCTTAATTGGCAATCATTCTGGTGATATGTTTAAGTAAGGCCGTCCTACATGGTTGTCTCCATTTTCACTTACCGGTGGTGAGTCTGACATAGTAGAAAAATAGAAAATGTTCTTTTTGAAAGTAAGCTTGTAGGAGCGATGCAAAGTGCAACTTTTAAACAGAGTGAGCAGGAAGAGAAACGGGCACCTGCATGCTCTCGCACACTTTTAATATGCGTTCCCTCTCTGGAGGGGGTACAGAAAGTGGTGAGGGTGGGTCTTTTCAAAGATTAGTGAAAACCACTGTCGCTTTAACAAAAAACAATTAAGGCCCAATTTGAAATTTTGGGATGGACTTGACATTACAGGAGTCATACAACTTTTTCCTAAGCTTCAGGTTAGATGTAAGAGCCAGAGGTCATAATAAGAAATGCTGATAGACAGGAATTATGGAAAAACCAGGTCACATAGCTATTTCCTCTCTCACAGCATCAGAAAAAGTCCAGCATGTTTCATTTTGGAGATGGCAAATTTTCCCTGTCCATTTTTAATGCCGCCGTCTTTTTCCAACAGCCAAAATAATATGCATGCTACAGTAGGTACTGGAAGATCAATACCTCTCTTATTTGGAAGTATATGCTCATATCTTCTGTGAATCTTAGTTATTGCCATGTGATGCATCTTTAACTAATACAAAACACTGTAGATGTTTACCAACCACACAGACCTCTTTTTCAAACCCTCCTCCTGATCCCTTAATAAGAAAAAGCAAGTATTGAAGATAATTGATATTTTATCAATACAGATATAGGCTACTAGAATAAGTTGCAAACCCAATGCAAAAGACCTAGGCCAGAATTTAACTTCAGGATCGTATTGCTGCAAGGCATTGGTGGTACAGACTGAACGGCTCAAGAGTAAGTTTAAAGAAAAATATTTAACATACTTCCTAAATACTAATTGAGTGTCATAAGAAACCAAAGTGAAATGTTTTAACATGAAAAGATACAGTTTTTTATACCACTAAAGTTGTAAAACCCTTAAGATAAGAGAATCTTAAGGGTTAACCGAATATTCTATGAAGACTGAAATTTCTTCAAAGCAGCTTTCTTTCTCTTTCCGTTTTGGAAATCAGGTCATCTTTTATTCACTTGACAACTAACAAAGGAGGAACTTTGGCAAGCAGTTTCATCGCTTTGCCATTTGATTGTGTAAAACATTTTTTCATTGCAGACTGATTATCAACTTCTTCAATGGGTATTGTGTTGGGCTAACAAAGTGAATCATTTGAGTTTGATTCCCGCACACTGCACTGTTTGTCCTAATTTGTAAAATAATGTTCCAACAACATGATGTGATCTTCACGCATAATACACTTTCACTTTGGTGTTAACCAAAACTGGTGGGCAATGCTCTCCAGATTTAATGATAATGGCATCATACCAAGCTTCAGCCTGTCCCGAGGAAACTCCCATTTGTTTGCGTCATATGTGAGCCTTTCACACTGTTCATCCATGGGCATGTCCTCCGAATCCAGAATCATGGACAGGTAGCCGGTCTTTAGGTCTCCTCCAGTTGGCTGAAATTGCATCAAATAAATGTGAAAGTTGAGCAAAGAGGAAAACTAAGAGTTAATAAGCTGCTGTTTGTCTCAAACTGTCCGGGCAGATTTTCAGTGACTCTGTTGCTATTCAGATAAATGGGGCCCAGTTACTGTTGCAGGCTTACGTGATGGGAACTGAGTGTGGACTCGTTGTTCCTGGATACAAAGTAGTGTCCTCTCGGGGCCCAAAGCAGTCGCTTCTAATTAATCATACACCTGCCCTAATTGTGTGTACGTTTGCATACGAGTGTACTCTGCTAATTTGTCCTTATTATATGTTAGAAGAATAGAGTGGCAAATGGGTGATGAACACTGAGAAAGAGGGAATTACTTACTCTCTTTCGTCCACGAATGACGAAGACGATCAAAAGCCAGAAAAACATGGCGATAACCACTGAGCCAATGGGGACAATCAGCTCCACATTAGTCTTCTCCTCTGCACCTAGTATATACACAAAAAGTGCAATATAAATGACAGTTCAAAGGTAAGTATAAAACCAAGCTACTGTGTTTGAGAGATAGAATGATGATTAGGATTTCCGTAGTATTTCTTTTCAGCATTGCGTGATACTCAGGACGTTTTGGCTTGTATATGTGTTTATATATTAGTTTTGATTGAAGGAAGGAGACTGTTAGAATCTGGACTGTGAGCAAACTGATATTTCATCCAGTCATAACAAATGATCTGGAGTCATAGAGGAGAGCTTAGGCCAAAAACAACTTGGAAAAGGCCTATCAGACAAACAGTAGGGTCTCACTAGCTACTATAACAGAACATTTCACTTCACAATCACATAGTGTGGAGGGTGTAGAAGAATGTTTTGTTTTTTGGTGTGGGTGTTTGAGACAGGGTCAGGGAGTTATGTGCATTCTTTCTTTTTTCTATGGGAAGGGTAGCCTGGGATAATATCAGGGGATTTTCCTTCATTCCTGCAAAGAACAATTAATATGTCACTCATATGACTGATTGAATTGACAAAGATTTTTATTCATATAGCTCTAAGATTGAGGTCACAGTGTTTCTTCTTTTGTCCTTTTCTTAAATAAGTCAGTTAGAGGTTAATGCATGAATTAAATGAATGTAATCCTTAGCTGGCTGAATGATGTGCTCTGTATTCAGTGTTTATCATTGTACTATCATTATTTATGTAACATACATATAATTTTTTTTATTTGGCTGATCATTATAAATGTTTTATATACTTAAAATGATACTTAAAATTGCACTATAAGTGAAAAGTAAATCAGATCTTGTTATTTTTCATTGTCTTCCTGAAGTATGGTTTTCTCTTTTTCACCTTTTGTTACAGAACAATCTCATGCTTCAGTGGACATTTTTGTGACAGACCAAAATGAAGTATAGCTTAAATTAAAAACAACAAAAGGCTGTTTTTAGTGTCTACAATCAGTGTCTACATGTAGGTGGTTTAATCACACTGCTGTTTTTGTTAAATTCCCAGATGTTTTTGGAGGAGCTTAAGACATTATTTTCCTTAAATCCACCATCAGCTCATTGAAAAAAAAACACAATGTAACAGCTGTAAACCTACATAAATATACACCTAAACACAATAACTCTAGGCACTGATTGGAAGAGATGTTATCTTCACCGCACAACTTAAGGTCATACACTCCACAAATCCAGCCTTCAAATGATGCCTAACACAAACTGTCTAACCAGCATTGGAAAACACTGCAGCTCTTATCTACTAAAGGTTTGCATGTTCAAAAAACATGTACAAACTTGATAGCTTACCGTACGCAAAACTGAACTACTACTAATCAGCCACATAGGGGTTTTTGTCTTTTAAATAAGTGGAAAAGCAGGCACCAAAATTTTGAGTTTGCCTTCATGAGGGATGATCATATGCTGATCATCAAACATTTACTGGTGAATTGGTGAAGTACCAGTGCACCACTGGAAATGGTAGTTCCTTTCTAAAACAAAGGTTTGCTCCAGTGATACTCTAAAGGGGAAAGTTAACCAACATCTGTCGAACATGCTTCATATAGATCCAAAAACTGAACAGTCAATTCATTTCAGGTTTGATAAATAACGTTGTGGGTGCAAGTTTTTATATTTGCGTAATTTCCTACCAGTATTGTGTACATTTTAATGATAAGCAAAAGCTCTGCATATTATAGAAGGTATACATGCTTTGCCTAATGTTCTACTCATTTTACAGATATAAACCCTCTGTGCACCTGGTTGTTAGAAGATTAGCTCTGCACATGCTATTAAGTTTGTATGTGCCTATGCCTATGTGTGGTAAAAAACAATCCACACCACCCATGGTTGTGTTAAACACCACCCATAATTAAAGCTGTATTACGAGATGAAAATATGAACTTTTAACTGGGTCTATAGTCTCCTTACGGGGATAGGATCACGTAGGACCTTTTAGTCAGAGCATGTGTTTGTTTTATTGTTTTTGCTCCATCTCTGAGTTTGGGACAGAAAGGCATAGACAACACAGCAGAGGTTGAAGCTGGGGCAGGGCTGGCCTCTCCCTTTGTCCTGCAGCCCCCTCATTGTTTTGGATTTAGAAATTCTCAGGAGGATGTGCGTTAACTGGGCCAACTTCCTGTCACGCAGAAGCAAAGTTATTCTTGCTCTCTTTGATATCAAAAATGTTCTAAGCGTTATGTCGAGTGCAAAAACTTTGATGTCAGCCATTAAAAATAAATCACCTGTGGGCACATAAAAAAAAAAAACATAGGTTGAAATCTTTCTCATTACATTTTTCCCACTAGGAGCCATGATTACATCACTGAGCTGACTAACTGGGCACAGGCCCAGATGCCCAATGGGTAAAGGGGCCTCAAAGCTTTTATGCAAAGACATGAAGAACAGAATGAAAGCAGAAAACACAAAGAGACAACGAAAGCAATCACAAAAAAGTTGACATACTTGAACAAGAACAGCAAAGGCTCATGCTGACATATTTATGAGATTAATAATGATCAGCTGCTTTTCAGACTTTCAAATGCTCTGTATAGTAAGAGATGCCAGTAAACTCTCTCATTAAACAACCATTAGGACATACAACAACATCGAAAGCACCTTTAAATCCTTCTGTGCAAAAGAAACCAACCACGTTTTCGGTGTTAGACTGACCTTCAACAATCAAATAAGCCTGTGAAGTATCACAGCCGTGTCTGTTGCATGCTTTGCAAGTGTACAGACCACTGTCCTCCTTCTTCACACGCTGAATAGTCAGGTTGTTCCGGTTCAGAATCACACCTGAAAGATGAATCAGAACAGGTTGTGTCTAACAAATGTTTTGTCTAATAAACTCCTAAGATGGAAAAGCTCAGTAAAGGTGTGTCGGGCAGCAGAGCAGTGCCTGTCCTACCTGAGCCTATTTCCACAGTGTGGTTGTTTTTGGTCCATACTACTTTAGGATTCGGAGTCCCAACAGTATCACAGTGAAAAGTGATAGTTGCACTCACATTCACCTTCTGGTCAGTGAAATTGTTACGTATTCTTGCAGCCTCAAGATCTAAGATAAAAATATGAGATAAAATGTGAGAGAAGACAATAAGTTGCAAAACAAACTTTAAAAGATTTTTTTTTTATGTCCAGAATCTGATTTACCATGCAGTGTGTTTGATCAATCACTAACCTCTGAGAGACAGGTGGCGCAGAATGCAGGTACTTTTTGCTGTATTGATGTTCTTCACCTGGCAGGCATACAGACCCTCATCCTGACGGGATGCATTGTGCAACATCAGCTCCAGGGTGATGTTGCCATGCAGAATGGACAGTACAGCCTGAGGCAGGGGCTGCAGGGTCAGTGAGCTACAGGGCAGGGTAGACTCAGCCTGCTCTGATGGAGACTGATTTATGACACGGAACCAGGCCAGCTTATTGTACAGCAGATTGTCTGCTTTGCACCGCAGGACCACATCGTCCTGCTCCATGGGCTTATCAGAGGGAGACATGCTCACCTCTATATCACCTAAAGGTGTACAGGTTGCAGGTCAGACAAGTTTTAAATTAATCTTCACCAGTTACATATACAGTCATTTTTTCTAACTACATATTGTTGCTTTTAACTATTTTTGCCCTCATTGCACAGTCTTCATTGGGTTTTTTTGTTTTTTTTATCCTCGTTCATTGTTTCTATTTTTATTGCAGTCTTCTTATGTTAAATGCATGTGACTTTGCTGCTGTTGCATGTAAATTTCTCCAATGCAAAACATCCAGAAGGTAACATTCTGTTACCTTTTCTATTGTTTTTCTATTCTATTCAATGCTATATTATTTTGTTTGATGCTATTCTATTCAATTCTGTTCCATTCTACGGTATTCTATTCTATTCTGTCCTATTCTACTTTGATCTATTCTATTCTGCTCTATTTTATTCTATTTTTTCAATTTTATTCTATGCTATTCTACTCTCTTCTATTCTTCTCTATTGTTTTTTTTTTTTTATTTTGTGCTAATTTATGCTATTCTATTCCACGAAGATTCCTTATGAATTTATATTTAAACAGCAAATTCTAGCTTTTGGGGGGAATTTTTCAGCATGTGAAGCACTGATAAACTAGGAGAAAAAGATAAAAGGCTTTCTATTCAATTCGCAACAAACAAGTTCAAATACATGCTGTGAATTTTGAACATAGTGCATTTTACTCCTTGAAAGAAAAGTTAAATAAAAAAAATACTAGTGGAAAACATTGCCTTTTGTAGTTGCAAAAAGATGGTTGTTGAAATAAAAAGACCAAAAACAAAGCGATTATTAAAAGACGGTATAAGGAAACTTCAGAGACATGGCCATCATTCTAAACAGACTGGTTAAGCAATGAGAGCCCTTTTTAAAGAGGCAGACCTATTGTGGCTCTGGAGGAGCTGCAGAGATCTACAGATTATGCAAAATGTTGTGACAAATAAGCCATAACATGTCCCATCTTTTGTTTACCATAAGCCACGTGAGGGACAAAACACATAAGCACATGATGCAGCCAAGTAAAATTATTTTAGCCCTCAAAATGAAATGTTAGGGGTAATTTACTATGCTACATATTACCATGGGTAAACATCTCCACTAAAAATTCTGTTTGTGGCAGTAATATTTCTGATAATATCTTCAACAGAGAATGGAAAATTGATTGATAAAGCTCAATGTCAAATAATATTAGAACAACAATTTACCAGCCCAATCTAAAGTAGTTTAAGCCATCTTGTAAGTAATGATTAGATATGTTTGGCTCTAGATGTGCAACAGAAATTAATAGAAACACATTTTGTTGTCCCACAGTAAGAAAACTTAATTCTGTGAGTGGATAATGGCAGTGAAATCATAAAAGTGGTTTGACAAATATTGTCACATGGCAGCCAAGTACAAATACATGCCGCACCATTTAGATAAAACATTGTTAAAAAAAAAAACAATAATGGATTTTATTCCTAATCACAGTTATGCACCACTGCTCTGTGTTGGTCTCTCATAAAGGGGCCAAAAAGTTTTATATGTGGCAAAAATTTTAAAACCTTTTATGAATACCTTTTAACATCACTGTTGATGCTGAAACTGAGTTCAGGACAAAAAAAGAAGATGAACTGAAACAAAAACAAACCAAAAAAAAAAACACATAGCTTACGTGTGACACGAAAAAAGATGTTCCGCGAATCCTTTCCAACTTTGTTAGATGTATTGCACCTATAAAGGGAATGGGTCTCAGCTTTTTGAATCTTCAATGCACTTATAAATTTCTATGAAAGAAGAAATCTATTTCAGTTTGCAGTTGTTAGCCTGTGTTATTTACAAGTTAGAGTTAAGGATTTATGGGAGACATGAGATCAAAAAGGATACAATTGGTTAATAACTTACATTTTGGGCTCGGTCGATGTTATTTTGGATTTCTGCTTGATTACAGACACCGTTGACAGTGATATTTTTCCAAGCTGTGCAGTTCTTCAACTGGTCCTCTGTGCTGTTTATCACTGGCCTAATATACAGAAAAAATTAGCATACAGGCAAGAATGAAACAAGAATAAATTATATATTTATTTATAACATGTTTGTAAAACTGCAGCTCTAGCTGTTTGGATCATTGGCACAGTGACAAAATGCAAAGACTAAAACAAATATTTAGTTAAACATCTACTCAAGTACTGAGTGACTCATCATAACATCTGATATTAAAATAATGTCAGAAAGACAGCACAAAAGGTAAAAAATTATGTTGAAAAATTTAGAATTTGAAGACTATCATAAAATAAGTAAAACAAACAAATCATGTAATTAAATAATAACAGTTTCAGCTAGAAGAAACACTTTTTCAAACCAATTTATTCTTTATGCATATAAAACCCATGAAACTAGTGCCTCCTGTGATAATACGTAGGCCTAATTCTTACTGTAGATTAGCTTGACATTGAAACGTGACAGAGATATAAGAACTTAATGTTTAACCTAAAATATATGAATATACTGATGTTGGTCCCATTCTGCTGCATGTGTCTGCACTAATGTTTAAAAATCCAATCTAAAGTCCAAAGTAAGCCAATGTATTGAATATTAAATAGGTGTTATACTGTTGCTTGTTATTAACTTGGCCACAGTATTTTGTATGACTTGTAAAAGTTTCATTGATGCTCATTTATCCAGTGAAAAATGCAATATAATAACTAAGAAGAGACAAACAATAAACAACTTTTTAGTTTAAAGGACAGGAAAACAGGTTAGAGTTAAGCAATCTTCTTATTTGGAGGAAACTAGTTAGAAAATTGGATTCTACATGTGAATCCTATGGATACAGCTTATCAAGCAAGTGTGGTTTAAAAAGTACAAACTGTGCTTTATGTTCTGCAAGGGAACATAAACCAGAACATTAAGTAAATTAAAATTACAGCTGTTTTACAGGGGATAGAAGTAGATCAAAACCATTCAATAAAGAGCTAGAGGTGACTGTCAGAGGTCCAAGCTTATTGATAACAGCATTTGACCAATGATAAGACATTAAACTAATACTATTGAACAATCATTTAATTCTATTTAAATACTTAAATTATGCATTTTTAAGTGTATTTTCAGTCTTTGTTCTTTTCTTTAATGAACTGCTGTCACAAGACAACAAAGAGGTTAAAACTTTATGAGTGTGTTTCCCTACAAGGTGAAATGATTACATGAAAAGGAATGCACCAAGTGGAGATATTGCTTTAGCAGGGACACACACTTTCTGTTTTAAAGTGACTCTGACAGGAACAACAGGAAATGTGGATCTGGACTGAGGAAACACTCAGACATGTAGGCAGAAGATAAGGAACAGGCTGCTGGCCTTCTCTGGTCAAAACCTCATCTCTCAGGCACACAGACTGTCTTCTTTCTATCAACACTTGTCAAATCTCTGCTGTATTCACTAAGGATGTTGTTGTATAACTGCAAAAAATGTTCAGGATGCATGTGGACAATGCTGCCACCTAAACCAGACGAAACTGCAAAAGTTGTTGTGCAGACTCTTGTTTTGAGCACATTCGAGAACATTCTGAGTCTCAATAATTGATGCTGTTCTAAAAATGGACATTGTGATGGAAACAAATCACAATTGCTGATCTGCATCGCAGTCAGAGTGCACTCTTATTGTCCATTCTCATGTTTTCATCAATGGCACGAAAACAGCCATACTAAACCAACAAGCTACTGACAAAGAGTGGCTAAATTTAAAGGAAAAAAATCCCTTTCACTCCAGCCTTTCAACTTCTTTTTCTTTACACATACTTACATTAAAATTATGAAAGGGGGTGACTTACATGAAGGCTCCTGGGCAGTCATCCTTTGACATCCACTGCCACTGGACATACTCAGGTGTTGGTATTCCATGGGCAGTGCACCACAGGGTAGTACTTTTTCCATACTCATATACATCACTGTAGCCACTCCCTTTCTCGATTATTGTAGGGGGCACTGTAGAAGACAGCAAAGTCAGGTTACCTTTGTTTTTTTTTTTGTTTTTTTCAGGAAATTGCATTTGCCTTCCTGAAGATTTAGATACTGAAGTAGAAAAGCCACCTTGGACCATCAAACTTCCACCACCATGTTTTACTGCAAGTAAATTTTTCTTGCTCAAAAATATCTTGCATGATGTGAAGGTGAGTAAATATAAATGACACTTTAGTCTCATGTTTCCCCAAAGGTCCTTTTTCAAACATATGCAGGCATATCTTTGTGTTTTTGCTGCAAATGACTTCTTATTGGAGTTCTACAATGGAAGCCGTTTTTTGACCTGTCTCTTTGTTTTATTGTTGAATCCTGAACAATGATCTTAACTGGGCCAAGTGAGGTTTGCAGTAACTTTGGATATACCATTTTTGTTCCATTTAATATCCCTGATAGGTCCATTATGGGCTTTAGAGGTAATTTTGGTTGGCCAGCCACTTCTAAGAAAGTTCATCACTGTTTTATGTCTTCTTTACTTGTAGGTAATGATTCCCGCTGGCCCATGCTGCAGTCCTAAAGCCTGAAACGCTTACATAAATCCCTTCCCAGACTAACAAATGTCAACGACTGCTAGATGATTGTTCTTCTTATGTTTATGAAATACGTAAGATGAGATGAGTTAAAATTTCAACAACCCCTTTTTTCAGACACGATCTGTTTAAAGTTGTAGGGAAAAGGCTGTTCCAACCATTGCATTTCCGAATTCTCCCGAGTGGTGCCCAACTTTACACAAGTGAATAAAGTGAGTGTAATTGGTCGTTTATCAAGGGGGCGGGGTTGTTGTGGCGGAAGGTTTGCCAGCAAGTTTGATTGTGGCCGGTGTCTCGGAAGCATCATGCTGACCAGTTAGCAACTTAGTGCTAGTAGGTTCCCAATGGTAAATTCCATTGGGACCATGTAGCACTAAATTGGTGAATTAGAAACAACACTGTCAAGGAACGCTATGGACAACGGAAACATGCAAGAGGAGGAGAGTTTTGTGTCGGAGGTCGTGGATTAGTCTCCTCCGTCATACATTTTTTATTTAGAGGAGGAAATTGCAGACGAAGTTGTTGTGGAAGAGGACGCCAGGGCAGTAGAAGCTTGATTTGGTGCAGAAGGCTTTCAACTGCACATGATGGAGCCCTTGCCTCGCAACGCTGCCAGTTCTGTTAGCTTTATGCCTGCTGAACACACAGACGTCCATCCCTGTGAACACTGATATGTAAACTCAATGGTAAAGTAAATAATTTTTATTTCTTATTTCAACCGTTGCATATATTAGCTGCGACGTATGAATCAAGATGCTATGACCAAAAAAATTTGATCGACAGATGATCCTTGTTATATGATTGGCCGAATTTAGTTGTTCAAGCTGATGTATAACTAGCTGGCCTGCATAAAATAACGGAAAAAAAACACAGATTGTAAGACAGGATTTTTTTTTTTTATAGAAATTTTGGGACAATATCGTCTGATAAAGAGTATATTTTTATACATTTTTAAGCCAGAATGATTTGACATTCAAACTTCCCTAAGACTTTAAGGAATATCTTTATCATACAAGTCTGACTATTGGTTACCGAAATAAATTTTTAAGAATTGGTTTTCCAGAAAATAAAGGAATGACCATTTTGCTTTGTGCATTTGATCAGTTTGTCTTTCTGTGATATGAAAATGTTAGCCACAAAAAGCCAAAAAAAAAAAAAAACATAAAAGTGCAATTACTTTTTCATCGGGCTGTGTAGGTTTTCAAGTTCAAGCAGAAATATTGAAGACAAAGATTACCTACCGTTGACCAGCAGTCTGAAGGAGCGCCTCTGTTCATCTTTAGTGATCTTGTTGGTCAGGACCACAGTATAGATGCCTGCATCCTCCTCAGTGGCTCCACGGATTATGAGAAAATCACCCTTGTGCTTTATTCTGTAGTTTTCCTTGGACAGAGGTTGGCCATCTTTTAACCTGAATAAGTAAAGGAAAATAATCTACAATATTTATCAGGTAACAGCTTCACACATTGTAGGGGACCTACAACAAAATAAGCATATTCAAAGCATAGACTAAACCTTCTTCGGGTACAACTGTTTCTTCTGTGTTGTGGTCATACCATTTTAAGCTGGGCTCTGGGTACGCCGAGTACTTCACAGGGATCTCCGTTGGTTTCTGATCGCCCATGTTAACTTCCCACACTTTTGGCCAGGGTTCTGTCATATCAATAAAAGGCGTTTCTGCAGAAAAAAAGGGAATGAGTAGAATATTATTATCCTCTTTTAATTGATATGCGACTAATCTCACAGATTGAACAGGAAATAATGTTGTTTGAAGAACAAAAAATATTTGCTGACAAAATCCTCTGCCAAGTTCATGTGAAGGCTACCAATACTGAATTAAAAATTCTTGTCTGTTAGACAAGTATTTCATGTGACAGATCTAAACAGAGCATCTTAAAATTGAAAAGAAAAAAACTAAATTATATATTTTGTTGTTTCTTTTTGGAACTAATAGAAATATGAAAAATGAATGTTAAGAACTAATCTATCTGACATCTTTAAAACCTATGAAGTCTTTACAGGAGTATCAATACTAAGACTGAATTCCGAACACGGCGTCTCTATTTGCTGTGAAAGATTTTACAGGGATTTCATGACTGGATATAATATTAAAGGGGTGTGTCAAAATGCAGGTCACAATTTCCCAATGTAGAACATTGTAAAACTTGGTTTCCTTTCTCCTTTACCTTTAAACACACCAGAACCTATGTTATCAAATCCCAGTAAAGCACAATGCAGTTTGTGGTGCAATCCGTGAATTATTCAAAGAAAACTCAACAGGGGCAAGTAATTTTCGAAGCTCTAAGTAGAATTGTATACCTTTTTAAAGCAGAAATTTTAAAAAGACATCTTTTATAATCTTTTATAATGTTATCATTTGTCTGTCAAGCACAGATAATAAAGCATATATAAAGAGTATTTCTGTTTTATACAAGATTAGCCTTCTTCCAGACAGATAACATTTACCGTATACAAAAAATAAGAGGCACTGATAAAGAATACAGTGTGACGTAAAAGAAGATTAGGGCCCATTAAAGCGTCAGATCTTTCAGTAAGATGGTGGATCAAAAACTTATATGAATTTCAAACAAAATTCAAATTCAAATTTTTGGAATGTGGGGATACTATGATAGAAATTTCTATATCTTTTAATCTTCATCGATTGGATTTAAATAATTTTTTTCAGGGATTTCCTAAAGCCTTTTTATAATACAACCACTGTCTTTAAGGGAGCAAAGTCTTCCTATGGTTTTTCAAAATGAGGGATTTCTTACATACCAAGTCCATTTCTTAACACATTTTAAACAAAACAGTTTTTTGTTTTCAGTGCACCAACCAAAAACTGTAAGATGTGCAGAGGCCCTTTTCTCCATCTGTCCGCTGGATGCTGTGCAGGTGAAATCTCCAGAATGATCCACTGTCACGTTCTCCACTATCAGCATGTTGGAAAGCTCCAAAGAGTCCCACAGCTTCTTCTTGTGGGGTATTGTGTGGGAACCACTGCCTAAAATCTAATATAGAAACAAACAGATATTTGGTCTTTTAAAACAGTCAACTCATCTCACTTTTGCTCAATGCCTTCAAGACATATATTCTCTTTAAATTTTTCACATTATCTGAATTAACAGGCAGAAAATTGAATTATTTGGATTTAAACAACAAAATTATAAGTAATGCACAAAAAGCCTAATGGATTTTCAGAGTTTATTTTTTCAAACTTCCAAAAATCTAAAAGGCTGTTGCTCTTTTAACTTAATTCCTTTTACCATCATACCTTTACATAAAACATAGAGAAAATAAACCTCCAAGTAATCATTAAAATCAAATTTTAGATTAATCTGAGATCTGTGGTACAAACGTTGACCTTCTTGGACATGATTTTACACCTAAATTGAGAGCCTGCAAGCAACAGGATTACTAGCATACACTCCAAACGTCTGACTCTTATGGAGGAATCACAAGATGTAAGCAAGCATATGAAATAATGTGCTCTGCTCAGACATTCAAAGTGTAAAGTGTAAAAGTAAATCAATTCTGCTCATTATGCTCAAAGACATCATCCCCATTATAAAACACGGTGGTAACAGCAACATGGTCTGGGAATGCTTTTTAGCAGGGAACAGAAAAACTGTTCAAAAATGTTCCAGTATGGATGGAGCAAAATATAGGGGTAACTACCCAGAAATATAGCTGCAAGAGGATCTAAAATACATCAGTGAGCATAAGCATACTGCAGCTCTGACTGTATGTTTGTAGGAAAGGCTGTTGGGAAAAAAAAATAAGCTACATTCATGTTTAAGAATTACCCTGTCAAAATGCAAACCTAAACCTGAGCTTATGATGTGAATATGCTAACTACATATCTTTATGAGGCTCTTTATTCACTGAGCAGGATAAATAGCACACATGTGGTTACCTTTGACCTGCATGTGCAAAGAGAGACTGATGGATTCCTGAAAGGACGAAGCCACAAATATTTATAAGATAAAGGGAAACAGAGAGGCAGCTCTTCCGTTATCTGTCTGTGATTCCTCCTCAGTGAGTCAAATCAATTCACAACACTTCTGTGGATTTAGAGAGATGTTGACTAACCAGGGGCACTCCAGAGTGGGTCCAGTTGAACTCGATGCCCACGTTGAGCTCTGTGGTGGCAGTGCAGCTTAGCACCAGCCTCTCCCCCACGGACAGCCTCTGATGAGTGGGGGTCAGTTTGAGGTCATAGATCTTGTATCCTGCGGAAAAGGGAGGGAAGGCACGACAGTGGTGGACCTGCTATTGTTCTGCTGAGACTACACACGCTCAGAAACAGTGCAAATCCAGCCAACACAAAGTCTCTACTTACATGTTATCATGCTAATTCTATCCCTGATAGGATCTTAGATCATCATATTTAGAAATAATATTTGGATCTTTGTCTCTGTCCTTTTTTATCTTACCAACAACGGCAACGATGTAGAGAGGGGACTTGAATGTCTCATTTTCAATACGAGTCTGGCAGGACACTACTCCAGCATAGCTTATCAGATGGGTGGGTAAGATGAAACCTCTCTTGGGATCCCAGAGCGAGTCTTTCCCATCGGGATGGATCTCCTTGATTGGATAGTTCTGAAAAACAGACAAAGTTAGCAAATAGACAAATAAAGAAGTGGAAAGCCTTCATTATGCTGTGATACAAACATGGGGAAGCTTCCAGCACCTTAAAAAAGTCCATACACCCCAAATGCTTTTGCCTTGTGTCAGATATAAACCATGGATCACAATAATATTACTGGGATTTTATGTGATAGACCATTATATGAGTTGAGACCAAATTAATTTTAGATTAGTTTTGAACATAAACATTACAACACATGATTTTATGGTTTCATGGTTTCATTAAACCGTTTAAGTGAAGCTCTAACTTGCTTGGTCTGTTGTTCTTTTCAAAGTTTAACTTCCAAACTACCATTTCAATCTCTTAAGTCTTTTACAGCCTCTAAAAGCTTTCTTTTTTTCAGGATTGTGGTGCATTTAGCGCCCCATTTCTTTCTGACTCTAACCAACTCAAGACTAAATGTATTAAAGGTTTGCTGTTGTGCAATATTTGTTCAGATTTAGTTGATGGTTTGAAAACTGGTTTCATGAAGCCCAAGAGCTGGGGTATGTTTTTATGTTTGTTTTTGTAAAACTAACCCTTGCTACAATTTTAAAAAGTCTATCACAATTCAATTCACTTCAAAACGGTTTACCTGTATAGCGCCAATTCTCAACACATATCCTCCCAGGGCACTTTACAGAGACAATTCAACCAGATTATACAGTCAAACTGGTCCAAAATTTTCAACCCAAGGAAAACCAGTTGATTGCATCGACTCATTGACCCAGTTCAATTCTTCACACCAAGCATACTTGTAGTGAGAGTGGAGAGGAAAACTCCCTTTTAACAGGAAGAAACCTCCAGCAGAACCAGGCTCAGTGTGAGCGGCCATCTACCGAGGCCAATTGGGGTTCAAGGAGACAGAAACAGACATAGAAATCACATTACACAAAAAAAGTCAGACTTGTTTGAAAATAAACCTCTGAAGCATTCAGAGAGCTGCTGTGTTTATGCACAGGCCAATTCACACACAGGTGAATTTTGTTTATATTTCTATTTCTGCTTTTTAGAATTTTAGGGCCATAATATTATATCATATTATCATTGGCTTTCTGTTCTGGTAGTTCGATCTCTGACGTTATGCTTTCTCTGCTTTTTCTCATAGTAGCTTCGCTTTGTCTGTTCCTGTTTGGCTGTGACTCCATCCTGGAGAGTAATATCAGCTGTGCTGCTGCTATCAACACCTTTTTTTTTTTAGATTTTCGAGATCAGCCTGTTTTTCAGTGTAGTCCTGTTTCTCTGATTGTGACTTGCTGGATGTGCTTTCTTCATCCTCTGACATGGGAGTTGGCTTGGAGATGTCTGCCTGGCTGTGAGTTTCCTGGATGGGCCACCTTTTACAGTTGCCTTTTGTATCTCTGCTTCTGTCTCCTTGAACCCCAGTCACACCAAGCCTGGTTCTGCTGGAAGTTTCTTCCGGTTAAAAGGGAGTTTTTCCTCTCCACTGCCGCTACAAGCTTGCTTAGTGTGAGGGATTGCCCTCGAGTCATTGTGTTGATGCAATCGATGCATCTGGTTTTTTCATTAGATCGAAAGCTTTGAATCAATTTGACTGTATGACCTGGTGAACTGTAAAGTGCCTTGAGATGACATGTGTTGTGAGTTGGTGCTATATCAAGCAACTGAATTGAATTGAAATTATTAGCACTAAATTTTATTAGAATATTATCATAGACAGGACTAAAAGTAAATACATGACACATTCAGAATTGCATTTGTGAGGAATTTTGAAAATTATGTACGTATCTGTTTTCCCTTAAATATCATAACTATTTAATACTTTGTGGTGTTTAATCAAATAAAATCTCAGGAGCCTCTGCTGAAGCTTTGGAAAATGTAACTTTTAGGTGGTATGAATACTTTTGGAATGCAATGTGCATTTCCCATCAGAAAAGCATCAGGACATCTGATTATTAGGTATGTTTTAAAAAGCACAGTAGTGCTAGTCTTACTCTATGTAACGGTATGTGTTTTTCCCTTTGTTTGCTTTCCCCACATAAAACAAGGCTTTTTGTCACTGTGCCAATGATTCAAACAGCTACAGCAGCAGTTTTACAAAGTTTCTCATTCCTTCCAATGCTGTTGGAGACTAAAAATATGTAGGAGGATCCCTGTGTTACAAACAGGGCCCTGGAATTTCTTTAGCATGTATGATCACGAGGTGTCATCTGTCTGCTTTTGACCGCTATTTAAGAATTTGGAGTATTTTGTAAATTACTGCAACACAGAATTTAAGTTGTATTTGTTTTCATCTATGGAAACCACTTTAAATGTCTCAATCTGCTCAATCAATGTGGCAAAACAGGATAATGTTCTTCAGGATCTATAACATGGTTTGAACTTGTAAGGGGAAAGGGACTATTTTATGTCTTATTTAAAACTTAAAAGACATTTTCCTACAGAGATGTAAATTGCCTTCGCTCTCAAAATGCACAAAAATGTTGTAGAACATAAAAAAATGTAATTTAAATTTGAGACACAGAGAAAATCTAGGTATAGAATTCAAAATATAATTAATGATTTTCCTTTTTCAGAGGGACAAAAACAAATAATTCTTAGTGAAATCAGGATTCTGTTATGATCTTGGCACTGATGACTGGCTTAATTGCTCATTTCATTTACCTCTCCAATTCTGCCTGGTTTCTCATGACCTCTCATCTGATACACCTACTCCTGCCTCTATTTAAGCTGCTGGCATCCAGTTATCAGGGCCAGATTGCTCTCTTGAGCCCTTTAAGTGTTTCTGATTTCCTGTGCTGCCCCTCAACCACTGAGTCTGCCTGTTCCTGTCCTGATCTGTTTGCAGGACCTGTCTTGGGAGTCCTGCTTGTTCCCCCGGGCTGCAGTACCTGGGACACTCTGGGTGGTGCCCGCCACATCTGGTTGGTAGGCCATTTGCTGGATCCTACCTTGTTCTCTGGGCATGGACTGAACTCATAAACCAGGTTAGTGACTTGTGTTTATAATGTTCCTCTGGTAGATTTACGTGGTCAGTAACCTGTTTTCCTTTCTGTACAGTCTCCTGTGATGGAGCTCTAGCTACTGCTACTCTGATCCGAGTTGTGACAGAATATGAGAAAAAACAGCTTTATTGGAATGCAGAGTTTTATTTGACTAGCCTTACTTGGCCTTTATTGCTATAAAAGTGATAGATTCAGCACATAACTTAAATAGAACTTTCTGACCACTTCAAGTGATCCAAAAAAGAAAAAATTAAGAACAGATATGAAACAACATTATTGCATGTTATCAGTTTGTAAAGGGGTAGAAAAAGACTGCTTAGGAAAATGTGAAAGAGCTGTTAACCTTACCAGGGGAGTCAGGAAGCCTGTATTGGTCTGAAAGAACCCAAAACAACTTGAAAAAACAGACGACCTACCTTCATTGCCGCCATCCACATCTAGTATAAACTAGTGTAATTGCATATGTCATATAACGCAAACACTCATTGATTAGCTATGCGTCAAATTTGTGCTGACGCCAAAGGAAATCATCGGAAGAAAGCAGGTGTTCTTCAAACTGCAAACGCAAATTGTCTATGCCATGCTACAATGTTGGGTTCAGAAAAAGATGTCGAAATGTCTGAAAGGCGAGAGGAGAAGAAGACCAACAAGACCTCCCTCATCCTTGGCTCTATCTCAAAGAATTTTTTTGAAATAATCGCAAATTGAGCTTTCAGTTCATATAGTGGCATTTGGCTGTTTTTATAAAGGTTACTTTATACTTTTATACTTTAGGTAGTTTTTGGAGCACATACTTTTTATCTTTTACCTGAGTAAGGAGGTCAAATTGATACTTCAACTTTTACCAGAGTGTTTTTAAACTGGAGTATCTATACTTCTACTTAAGTATCAAATGGGTGTACTTTTGACACCACTGGGTGTACCCCGCCTCTCGCACATAGACAGCACACCACAGAAAATTGATGGATGGTGGTAGTGTAATGGTCTGGAACAGGTTTGCTTCTTCAAAACACAACACTTGTTTTAGTTGATACAACCATGAATCTGCTGTCTACTCGAAAATACTGAAGCAAACATAGAATCATCACTTTTTTACCCTAAGCTACTTCGGTTGTGCAGCAGAAGATGGTGTGACGTGATCTAAAACAGTTTGATCACGACCAAAACTCCTAAATCGCTGAATGAAAGCAATTCTGGAAAGAACAGTTATGGTCTCTTGTTGCTGCGAAGGCTGGAACAACAGCTTGTTAGGTTTAGAGTTCAAGTAAATTTTATGCAGGGAAAAGTTGGCTTTGTTATCTTTTTATCTGATAATCAAATTTGTTTCATAATGTCAAAAAAACTCCAATTGTGGCAAACAATTGAACCCAATGAAAGCTGTAAGGAAGAAATTCTTTTCTACTGCAGCTTTCACCCTGATAATTGGGCCTCATGCTGTAAATGTCACCAAATTTCAGTTGGAGAGAACAAAGCAGAATGAAATCCTTCTTACGGTGTTGAGCGTAACGTTGAGATTCTCCACTGAGCCTCGGCAGGGTATAACCACACGCTCGCCTTCACGAATGAAGACTACCTCATATTCCTTCTCAGAGGGCACAAATGGCACCTTGGAATCTAAAAATGGAGTAAAAATGAACATCAGACTTTCATTTTATTATAAATTCAGATTAGTTAAATTATGGAATAGGACATTTTTGGAAAGGTATCTGAAAGGATCTAGCAAATTTGTTGTTTGAGCTTTTGAAACTAGTATAACATTTTCTCAAATTTTAATATAAATGCTGCCCTGAAATTAAGTGAAACCAGGAATTATACCATGAACAAAGACATAGACTCCTGCTGCTGTCTTGCCGTCTTCAGCCTTCAGATCTTTGTAATAACACTGATACTGTCCAGTTTCATTCACAGTTGCGTTTGTAATGGTCAAGGTGGTACAGAAAAGCCCTGATCCACTGCAGTCACTGGTGGAGAGGCGGTTGCTCGTAGGAGGGGTGGACCACAGCAGGAGCTGTCGACCTCTGGCAAAACACAACAAAAGGTTTTACTGCATATTTCTCAGTTATTTGGTAAATGTTGGAGGTAATAATGGTGAGAAAGGTTTCAAAAACCTGCATGTTAGTTCAAGGTTGTCAGATTTGTTCATCCGGTGAGTGCCGTAGATGTTGAGAGTTGGTGGATCAGGCATAAATCGCAGTTGGATGGCTAGAAGAAAAACAGGGGGAGTTAATGACAGCAAAGCTTGTTTTAAAATATTATCAGCCTCAGTAGATAAGCCTGAAAACCCAACAGATGTGCTTTAACGTCACAATGTGATAGAGAAGAGAAAATGCTTCCATTTATGTCAAAATGTGGTATGGGTTAATCAAAAGGGGTTTTAAGAACATTTGGGCTAAAAAGAGTCCTTTTTGAAGATTGTTTGAGTTATATGAAGACAAGATTGAGCTGGTCCAATGTTGAAACAAAAAAGTGTTTGGAGGGAGGTTGGAGAGAAGGAAGTTGGAGGACAACAACTTTCCATTGTTTTTAAAGGTTTCAAGTTGGTTCTCGAAGCCATTTTTCCACTGCCACAGAAAATGGCGGAGCTGTGTCAAAACAGGAAGCGGGGGAAGATGGGTTGGGTCAAGCTCAATAGTCCAGCACAGTTTGACCTAGGTGGGGGTTCCTGTTACAGAGGATATAGGCCAACCATCGCCTCCCTGTGCGCTCCTAAAGGACAAGTCTTTATCGTATGGAAAATAATCTTTATTAGTGGCCAATCACAAAAACAGCACACTTTTTTTAGTTTGTGTGCAATGTAATCATCTTGGAATTACAATATAAAACAATATTTGACAGAAAAAAAACTAAAATTGGTTTTTAAATAACCACAAATTAACAGATTTGGATTAATAATATACAATATAAATTAGCTGATGCTAAAATTAAACATTTATATTTAGATCTCATTTACACTTATCTTGCTTTCCAATCACGGACATTTGAAAACTTAATGCAACCATTTAAATACCTTTATATACAAAGATAACAAAGAAGATTTCTCGAAGAGATCAATATTTGTTTGTACATCTATAGCGGTGTTATATCAATACATATTTTAAAACCATGATCTGTCACAAATATTAGTTTATTACAGTATCACATCTGAAGGTTTGAGAATATCACAAAAACAAAAAGCTGACATGTAGGTTAGGTTCAGGTTAAACAGGAGACAGAATATGTGGATTAATTGCTACTGTACATCCAGATGATTTAAAAACTAGTTCATCTACCTTTTTCTGGTATAATTCACAGCATTTAAAACATATGTAACACTGTTATTATTCATCTCATTGTTATCAAATATTTTCCTAAAATGTTTTTGTTTCATTATCTTACCAGATACACCAGTTATTTGCAGAAAAATGGCCAGCAGTAGAATAGCTGAGATCACCTTCTTCATCATCCAACAAAAATCAAGGACTGAATCCTCATTAAAGTAAAAATAAAAACCTCAGAGAAACAATAAAAGAAAGATATCCAACTGTCGTGTTAGGAACCCATGAGGCACTGAGGTTTAGTTTTCCACTTCAGATAAAGTTTGAAAGTCATGGACTCAGCCAGAGGTCACTGCTCTGTGCAGCGCGTCTCTACGTGCTTCTCTCTGAGCTGCTGCTGCTGAGGATGCAGAGAGGAGCCTCAGTGAGAGGCCCGAAAGGAAGGAGGGGCATTCAGAACTATGTACCACAGACAGCCACACTGCTGAACCTGTTCCTGGGGGGCAGATATTTTCACGTTTCCAGATCAAACTGGAATGTTGGTCTTGTCTGCTAATGTATGAAGGTTTGAGTTGCGCACTTTTGGTGCTGGATTGTCAGAAATGTGATAATCCTGATTTTTACATAACTCTTGTGATGCTAAACAAATGGGTAGAAAAAAGTGCAGCAATAATTAGTGACAAAGGTATATTTGGCAGATCTGAAAGACAGTTGAAAGTTATGCTTTATTTATCTATACTATAACAAACAATGTTATCTATGTATTTAGTCATAATGACAGAGTTTTATCCAGCAAAGGTGCTAAAAATCAGAGCATGTCAGTTTGTAGTACCACTGCATCCAGGACATAAAGGTTGTTGGTTCTATTCCCACAAAGCATTTAACTTAAATTTGCTCAGTGAGCTTTGCATTAGTGTATGAATGTGATTTTAACTGAGTAAATGACTAAAAAGTGCTACAAAAATTCAGACCACTCATAGTGACTTAAACAAACTAAACAAACTATTGAAATATTGCAGGACTATATTTAGTTACTAGCTCTTTTTATTTCTCTTTTTCTCTATAATTATTTAGTACTTTGTGTGGGTCTGTCATAATATGACAATAAAAGGCAAAGAACAGAGTGATAAAAAGGTTGGAAAAGTGTATTTAGAAGCCACTACACTTCAACTGATCTATTTAAGACGATTTTGCCAAGGAAAAAAATGAACATTCATTTTAAGAAAATATATTCTTTAATTTTCTCTGAAAATATTAATTTGATGAAAGTTATGCTTTCTGTGTTCCTTTTTACCATAAGTAAGTATGTTAATATCATACTATTATGTGAACCCAGGACAATAAAATCTGTGCTTATATTGCAAAAAACTGTTTTTATTCACTGACGTCATTTTTTACAGAGTAAACTTGTCCTCAAATTTGGAAATGTAATGTTTGATCATCATCAGATAAGATTTTTTTAGGGATGAGACTTTTGTTGTGACCATTGTATGGGTTCAGGTGGAACTTTGGGGTTATCCACATGTTTCCTGGCTTGGTCACTTCTGTAGGGAAAGTCTGCCAGCCTGTCTATGCTACTCTATACCATCACTTCCTGGAGGACACTTCGCACCAAATTATGTTCTGGAAAAACTAATAACAGATATATTTTCACAGCTATTTCATTTTGTTCTCTTCTTTCAGCACCATGTGACTGCCCAAAAAGTGACCCAGACTCAGACAAAGAAAAACATAAGATAGAACAACAATCAAAAATAATGATGTTTTAAGTCAAGTATCCTTAATCTCACATCAAACTTTTCTTTTAAACTGGAAAACGTCCAACATAAATCTAAAAAATTGTTAACAATATTTATTTCAAAACGGAAAAAAAAGAAGGAAAAAATATCACAACTAAAGACCTGTAGTCTTCATCCAGCTCTGTCTAAAGAATAGCTAATTTAAGATTACATGATTTTTATAGCACTGCTTTTAATAGAGAGGTTTTTATAGAGCTATAGAGCCAATACCAAAAAATAAAGGGGGAAAGTTTAGGGGCTGCTAGTGTGCCTGGGCACATTGTTCTTTTCTCATCTTTATTCACTCTACTATTCCAAAGATCCATTAAATATTAGAACAGATTAGCCCCTCCTCCTCCTTTAATCATATTAGGTTGAATATCTTCTAATCTTTACAGTGGTGGGCAAGTACTCAACAGTAGTACATGAGTAAAAGTATTGATATTCATAGTCAAATCTTACTCAATTGCAAGCAGTGCTGTGCCGATGCCATTTGTTGGTCCCTATACTGATACCCGATACCTGGCTGTGCAGTATTGTCCAATACCATACTGATACCATCTGTTTGAAATTGATGTGTGTGTTAGTATATATGAAGAACTGCATACTACCTGGATGTAAAATAATTGCCATCAGGGCTTTGTCAAGCTGCTGCCTACCTTGAATGGGTGACAAAAGCTGAATAAATGTTTGGCTCTCTAAATGGTATCGGTGCCCTATTTGCTGATACTCGCCGATACCACCATTTTGGTGCTGGATCAGGGCCCCGCCCGATACTGGTATCCGGATCGTTGCAACACTACTTAAAAGTAAAAGTTAGTCAAACATTAACTTAAGTTAAAGTATTCAAGTACTCATATTTGTTAATACCTTATTATTCTAAAGTACATGTATTTAAAAGTACTTAAATATTCAAAAATACAGATCAAATTTTCCATTTTCTAAATAAAGATTTCAGTGCATTTCTGTATAATTTTCAGAGTAATTCTAAAGAACTTTGTAATTTTCAGAAATCGCCTCATGTATTGATGCGTATAACCACTTGCTACAGATTCTACACCATCTGGTAACAACTTCTGCATTAAAATGCTACAAAAACATAAAGAAAGATGTTTTTATTTTTATTTCATATTAAAAAAACAAACAAAAAGAAAACAGGACAGTCTTGATTCTCCTCACACTTTCACTATGAAACAGAGGTTTAAAGTTGAATCTATTACTACAAAGAAACTGCAGCCCTGCTTTGATAACTTATCATACTGAATGACTGGCCCACATAACAATAATTAAAGCTTGATCAAATTTATAAACAACCAATAACATCTGCCCTGAGTTTCTCACAAGTTTGGAATGTCATTAAATCTCTAAAACAGTGGCATCCAAATTCAGAAATTCTTGAAATTGTATTTCAAGAAACAAAAACAGCAACACTGGATTACAAAACTAAGCTGACCAAAAGGAACAAGTAACAGCAGCTTCCTCGAAATGTAATAGAGTGAAAGTGATTAGTACCCCATTCAAGAAATTACTTAAAGGTACACTATCCAACCGGTGTTGATTTTCCAGCGAGGCTCCCCCCA